GCCCGCCCGCCCGCCCGCCCGCGGGGCGCGGATCCGGCCCCCTCCGCCTCTGCCCTGCGGAGGGAGGGACCCGCGTCCCAGCCTGGCCCTGGCCCTGGCCCTGGCCCTGCCGCCCGGGGGGGGCTGCACCGGGGGGAGGGGGCTCCTGGCTCGGGGCCCCCCGGGTGCCGCCCCCCCCCCCCCCCCCCCCCCCGGGGCTGGACCCCAGCCCTTGCACACCTGGGTCCAGCCCTTGCACACCTGCGCTCCAGCCCTTGCACCCCACCCCTTGCACACCTGGGCGCCAGCCCTGGCACACCCATGCTTCAGCCCTGCACCCCAGCCCTTGCACACCTGGGTCCAGCCCTTGCACACCTGGGGTCCAGCCCTGCACCCCACCCCTTGCACACCTGGGCGCCAGCCCTGGCACACCCATGCTTCAGCCCTGTACCCCAGCCCTTGCACACCTGGGTCTAGCCCTTGCACACCCGGGCTCCAACCCTGCACCCCAGCCCTTACACACCCGGGCTCCAGCCCTGCACCCCAGCCCTTGAACACCTGAGTCTAGCCCTTGCAAACCCATGCTCCAGCCCTGTACCCCAGCCCTTGCACACCCATGCTTCAACCCTGTACCCCAGCCCTTGCACACATGGGCTCTAGCCCTTGCACACCCAGACTCCAGCCCTGCACCTCTGCCTTTGCACACTCGGGCTCTAACCCTGCACCCCAACCCTTACACACCCGGGCTCCAGCCCTGCACCCCAGCCTTTGTACACCCGGGCTCCAGCCCTGCACCCCTGCCCTTGCACCCCGCACTCACCTGCCCCTGGGCCCGCACCGGCCCCCGCCCCTCCCGCCGGGCAGGCAGGCAGGCAGGCAAGCACAGGGCCGTGACGTAGGGGGAGACCCGCCCCCGCCTAGCAACCCGCCACGGCCCGCCCACACCCCTCCTGCCCACCCTATTGGCCGGCTCCGCTGTCCATCCCGCCAGCTCGCCGCTCTCATTGGCTCCTAGGGGAAACGCCCCTCTAGGTCACTGCTCCATTCTGACATCCATCACCCGCCCTCCCGGCCTCCTATTGGACACGTCTCCCCAGCCCCGCCCTTATCCTGCTACTGATTGGTTGATATCACTCCTTCCTCTTCCCGCCCCCCCCCTTTTTTTTTTTGCAACACGTGTTGCTGGTGGAATCCCCTGGGAACGTTCTGGAACCCAGTGACGTCAGGGGGAGGCAGCAGGGAGATCCCCACGGGGGAGGGGTGCAGCACAGTGCAGGCCAGTGCACCCCTGGCACACCTGTCCCTTGCACAGACCCTTGGTGCACACCAGCCTGGCCCTGGTGTTTCACGCCGGGCCCCATCCTTGGTCTGCGGGTGGGTACACTAGTCCTGCAGCCAGGAGTGCCGCAGGTTCACCCCGTGCTTGCTTCCGATCAACCCCCGGACTGCTTCCTCAGCTGCCCCCTCGCTCTCGCCCCGTGCGGCGCGCTGCCCGCTGCCCGCACGCCTTCCCTGGGCCCTCCGGGATTGCAAAGCTCTCCGTTGCGTCCCCCCAGATGATCGGCAATAGCGATCCGGCTCCAGAAACCATCGCGGGGCAGAGATCCTGGAGCGCCCGGGCTCCGCTGCTCGCCCCTGCGAGAGAGACGGCGCCTTCCCCCGCGACCCGGGGCCTCCCACGGTCTTCCCCGACCTGGCTTTGCGAATGCGGCACAGGACGGCGTGTGCCTGCTAACCGCTGGTGCCTGGGGTAGCAGCAAAGGCACGCATGCTGTGGGTGTAATAAACCATTCGGTAGCAGCCACCCCCGCGCGGTCCTGCGCCCCAGCCAGCCTCCGAGGTGCTTGTTCTTTCAGTGCAGAAGCTGGAGGGAGAAGGTTTCTGGGGACGTTTCCGCCCCCTTGGCAGCGCTCCCATCCCTGGGCCCAGGGCTGGCTTGTAGGAGAAGACCGCGCGTGCCAGCCCTCTCCCCCACAGAAAGCCTTGAGAGCACAAAGCTGGTGCCAGCGGGCGCTGGGATGGGAAGGAGTCTGCTGCTGGGCTTGGCTTCTGCAGCCACAGTCAGAGTAGGAGGGAGCAAGGCAAAGTTGCTGCTGCTATTTAATCGCGTTGCCGCAGCGCAATCAGGATCAGGGCATCACAGACAGTGAGGGTGGAAGGCAGCGTGGGAGGTCACATCCAGTCCAACCCCTGCTCCAAGCAGGACCAGCCCCAACTACAGCATCCCAGGCAAGGCTTTGTCAACCCGGCTCTTCAACACCTCCAAGGGTGGAGACTGCACCACCTCTCTGGGGAGCCTGGTCCAGTGCTTCACCACCCTCCTACTGAGAGAGTTTTCCCTAATATCCAACCTCAACTTGCCTTGCTGCAGCTTGAGCCCATTGCTCCTTGTCCTGCCATCTGCCCCCACAGACCAGCCCAGCTCCATCCTCTTTGCAGCCCCCCTGCAGGGAGGTGAAGGCTGCTATTCAATCCCCCTCCGTCTTCTCTTCTGCAGGTTCAATCAGCTCAGCCTCGCCTCACCAGTCCTGTCCCCCAGCCCCACGACCATTTTCATTGCCCTTCACTGGACTCTCTCCAATGTGTCCACATCCTTTCTGTCGTGGGGGCCCACAGCTGGACACTGGACTCCAGATGTGGCCTCCCCAGTGCTGAACAGAGGGGAAGAATCACTGCCCTCGATCTGCTGGCAACGCTCCTACCAATGCAGCCAGATTGTGGCCCCGTGGTGCGCAGATACCCAGGCGGGTCTACACTGCACCCCCACGGTGTGACAGCAGCTTGGGCAGACCTGCCCCGGCCAGCTTAGTTTCAACCGGGCGGCTCAGGGAGCAGTAGCAATGCAGCCCCCAGCCAGGCGTCTTGGGGAGCAATAGCGATGCTGGGCTTCAGCCAGCAAACACCCCTATGGGGCTTGCGCATCCCATGCTGCCGCTCCAGCTGCCACAAGCGGGTGACTTCGATGCTGGCTCAGATCTGCGAGTTGCAGCCTCACCTCAGGTGCAGCCAGAGGCAGAACCAGTCTCTGCCCCGAGGGTGGAGGGGATCCACACCTGCAGGGAAGTGACTTGCCATGGTCACGCAGCGGGTGGGTAGCAGCCAGCCCTTTGCCTCCCAGCCCCGTGCCCTAGACACAGGGGTCAGGCATGCCGGCTCAGCTCATGGCACTGTCCTGCTGCCCCCTTTGCTGCTCAGGCTGGGGCATGGGGGCAGTAGTTCGTGCAACTATCTGTCTTTCAGTACAGCCCCGCCTGGAGCCCTGGGCAGTAGTCTGGAGCCCTGTGCCCCTGCACTAGGAGAAGCTGCCAGTGGGCACTTGCCCCCTCCATCAGCAGACATCCACCCACCAGCCACCCCACAGCCAGGTACCACTGGGGGCCTTACCTGCCGCTTGAACTGGTGCCAGTCAGGGGTGTTCACTGGAGGGGCCTGAACGTTGGAGGCAGAGATGCAGCTAGCCTGTTGGGGTAAAAGGCTTCTACTGCTGCCAGGTAAGGGAGTGTCTCCTGCCTAGGAGGCAATGGCTGAATGCCTCTGGGGGCATGTTGTGCTGCTTTAGGTGGGGATGGGCTGTTTCTGTAGGAGGGAGAGGGAATGTGGCACGTGTGGCTGATGGAGGCGGTTATCTGTGGACTAACCAACGTGGCGGCTCGCTGCATTCCCCCAGCCACATCCGCCGGGTCCCCTCCCTGCAATGCCGAGCCTCTGAGTAGTCATTAATGAAGGAAGTATTTCTCCGTGGGTTCAGGAAACAAGACACACCTCCAGCCCTGCTCTGCACCGTGCACCATTGCCAGGGCAGCAATATCCACGAGGGGCAAGGGGGAAAACCCCACACGCTGGGGAGAGGACCTGGGCACTGTAAGGCAGTAGGAGGCAAAGCCCTATCAGTCTGAGCTGGGGAAAATCCCTTCCTCACCTGAAATTTGCAGCAAGGGAAGTTTAGGGTAGATATTAGGAGGAAAATCTCACCAGGAGGGTGGTGAAGCACTGCAACAGGTTCCCCAGAGAGGTGGTGCAGTCTCCATCCTTGGAGGTTTTGAAGACCCAGGTAGACAAAGCCTTGGCTGGGGTGATGTAGTTGGGGGCAATCCTGCTTGGAGCAGGGGGTGGGCTAGATGTGACCTTCTGTGCTCCCTTCCACCCTCATTGTCTGTGAGTCTATGACTCTATAATACCCGTAGGGGTATCCACACTCTCCAGCTAAACTCCCACTTCTTGCTGTGGTCACTGTCCAATGCAACCTACGGGGCAGGGGATCAGCAGCTGGGTCTCAAGGGATGGCCTAGTTGTTCGTTATAAGTGCTGTTCATTAAAGGTCGCCGACCTCTTCTTTCGGGGGAGGAGACCCCTCCCCTACAGAAGCCACCAATGCAGAGGGTCCCAGACAGGGGCTGTAGCACATTGGGGTGCCTCGAGATCCTTGCGGGGTGCTGCACAATGCTAACACTGAGGTGGGCAAGCACAATTCTCAAGGTAAACCAAGAGATTTCCAGCA